GCCTAGTGTTTGTAAGCTTGTAGAAAATTCAATTAGGCTATTCACCCCCTCTAGCCATCCATAGATTGTTTCAACTCCGGTGAGTGTGACTCTTCTCCATCACATCTTTTGTTGATCCATCGTCCAGTGTTGGAGAAGTAGACGTAGACGATGTTAGTTGCTTCACCTTCCATACTTTCTTGGTTTTCTTAGGTGCTTTCGGTGTGGAGGTCGACACTTCAGGCTTTGTCCCCTTGTTGGCCTTCTGCATTCTCTCATGGAATCTTTGCGGAAGTTCCATCATCTAGAAGGTTTCCCAACAGTCCCTTAGTTCACCCGCCTCAAAGGGTGTCACTTCGACCTCTTGTATGTTCTTGGAGTTTTGCCTGTACTTTATTCTAATCATAGAACGTTCTTCTACTCCCGATCTGAAGTCGAGCTTTTCCTCCTTTCTTTTGTTGTTGTTTATAATTCTGTATTCTGTATAATACATGATCATGGAGGTACTTGTCCTAGATGTCTAGTTTTTAAGGGAGATTCTACCGAAATTTCCAATGATTTTTAGTCATAGTGAGTTTTAGTTGTTGGTGGGTAGCCCCTAGTGGTGTTTCTAACTGGGGTGTTACAGCTGTTGAAGGCCAAAGATAGTAAATAAAGGTCAATCACCATTCATTGTAAGAAGCAAATAGTACAGTAATGGCAACTGAGATAAAAGATAACAAACTTGTACAAGATAATTGAGCTATCTTGTACAACGATAGCTCAAAACGAATCAATCGCTCGAAAGGAATTGCTTGGATATGCGTCTGCATGATACTAAAGCATATAACGGATCTTGGCTGCTTGGTGCACGGAATCGCAGTGGATTCAACGAATTGCCTCTAGGGTTTGGGAAGAAGGAAAATTACAAAAATAAATAGAGGATATCCAGATCCAGATGCATGTACCTTTTATGCGGCAATTCAATCCTGGGAGCAAGGTTCTCGTCAGACTAGGGATGGGCACAGGGACCGGGAGCCGTCGCTGATGAGATGGTGAAATTTCTTGGGGAAGGATAAACAGGATAAACACAGATACCACTAGTACACAGAACGGTTCTAAACCTATTTTTACTGGCGTTTGTGTCAACCGCCAGTGTAAAAGATCAGTGAAAATTACGAACTTCACATGCGTCTTCTAGAGACCGCCACTACAAATGATTTACACTAGCTATTTCATAAGAAAAATCGTCACTACAAATGATTTACACTGACTGTTTTCTTAAGAAAACCGCCACTACAAATGATTTTTAAAATTTACAAAATGGGCTAATTTTTTTTCTATTTGAGAAGGCTCACGCACAAGGTAGCCACACACAGTTCTGATTGTTTTCATTCATTTCGCAAGAAATCCATGCATGTGCGACACCTCAAGCCTCACGCTTTACGCCCCCTTATCACTGCACCACAAAGTCACTTGTGACTAAGGAACATAAATATTCCCTTAGTATTCACTACCGTAGATTTTAAAATTGAGATTCGAAGTCATAAACGGATTCAAATGAAAAAAGATTCAACTACAAACTTTTAAATCTCGTCGAGATCTGCGACTTTGCTTTTGACTATTTTCCCATCGGAGGCCATTTGAGAAATTCAAAAAATATAAATTTTAAAATCATTAATCTTAAAACATAATTTTTGCGCCCTAAATGATTTTAAATGAAAACGTTATCAACTATAAAGTTGTAGATCTTTTAGAATCCTACAACTTTTGTTCAGACCATTTCTCCATCCGAGATCATTTGAAAAAACTCAAAAAATTAATTTCAAATTATTTGTAGTGGCACTAGGTTATGAAAACCGTCACTATAAATACATTTTTACTGACTGTTTTCTTAAACCTACCGCCAATAGAAATCATGTATTTTTTACTGGCGGTAAACTTAAGAAAAAAAACCAATAAAAATGAATTTACACTGACGGTTCATGATCTGGACTCACATTTTTGTTTCTAGTGGCGCCTATACATTACGAACAAAGTGGCCACTGCCAAGAGAAATCATTGTTCTAGTAGTGTACCCTGTCTATACCCGCATGTGTCTTATCGGGTATTATCCATACCCGAGCGGGTACATAATTTTCTACCCATACCCTACGTGTTTGACGTGGGTATGGATTTGGATAATGGGTAGCAATACCCAGCGGCAAGCCTGGGTGTCATTCGCCCGCTCCGTCATTTCCGGCTGCCACAGGTCACTTATCCGAACGCAAGAGGAAGTTCAGACTTAAAGTCAAATAATGTAGTTTTCCTATGTTAACGACTTAGGGTATGTCTGGTTGGGATTTAGGGAGGGACTGTTTTTTGAGGCTGTTTTTTCAGAAGCAGCTATTTTTTCTCTGTAGTATATTTTTGAAAGCATCTTAGGCCCTATTCAGCTTATCCCATATTCAGCTTGTTCGACTTCTTTTTTCAGTCGGAATAGTGTTTTTCTCTCACAACAATTTAGCCAGAATGTTGTTTTTAGCCAGTTTCAGCCAAAATTCTGCCAGCCGAACGGGGCCTTAGACCCTGCTTTTGACTTTTTGATTTCCAAAATTGGTGGAATAAAGAACTATTTCATAGTTATTTGAAGAGACAAAAGATAGGAGATATAATTTATACTTGTTCAACCAAATAACTTTCAGCTTTTCCACATGTCACAACCCACGACATCTTTTCTCCGGCCCACAACCACATCTCAATCAAACATACATTTATACTTATTTTCCTAACTTCCTCTATTATCTATTTATGGTCGTGTCCTCTCAATTTCGCTATAGCTTTGCACTGTAGCCAGCAACATAAAACTAATGAGCAAATGCAACTTGCCTTGTGGTATCCACAATAAGTAGTTAATTCATCCAAGTCCACGATACCGGCACACGTACAGTACTAACCAAAGCACCTAACTTGGCTAGTATGGACCACGGTCCGTACTACTGCCTTCTATCCCATCTTCCACTTGTGTACTGTGAAGTCATTGTGGAAGAAAACTCACTTTGAATCTGGTAGCCGCCATGGAAAGGAGTCTATCTCGGATCGCACGGGTATATATATTAACGTTAATTTCCTTGTGGTCAGCAGTGGTGGTGGTGCGCCCTCCCCCTACGTACTCGAAGTGCTCCCAAAATGGTCTTCACAATGCAGCCATTTTGGAAACACCTTCCAATGCCACCCGGTCATTTGGGATTCGTGCAAGGACAAACACTTCGGCTCACGCCGATGGTGAGGTCATAGTTGTGCAAGTAAAGGGGGACCCCACAAGGTATATGTTCCCCCAATATAGTATGCCCCTCACGGATGAACTTCTCGATCTGCCTTTGCGAAGTGAATCCACGAAAACATGCTTCACTTGCCTCTATCTCTATCCCAGAGCGTCCTCCCTCAAAGCTCACGAACAAGCTGCGAGATGGGTGATGGAGTTGAACTTCAATTTAGGGGGTGTTTGGACCAGGGGGCTAATAATTAGCCCTTGTTTTGGCATATCAATTAGACATGTTAAATGTGGAAAAATTCTGGGATAATAAAAGCTAATGGGTCCTAATTGGTGGTTAGTGTCTATTGGCTCTTATTAGCCCATAATTAGCCCATGTTTAATCCATTTTTACAAGATGAGCTAATTTTTAGTCTTAGGATGGAAACAGGCCCTTAATTATATCCAAATGGATTCTTCAGGATGACTGTCACATGGCTTCCTCACAAGTCACAACCACGGACTACAGACGCGTACACCATTTCCCGTTATAGTGCACGTGTTCTTCGTGGTATGCTATAAATAGCCAGTGGGTGGGGTGTTCTTATTCACTCCCTGGTTGTGTGCTAGCATTTGGAGCTCAACTACGTAGCTTCTTCGCTAACTTCGGAGGTCATCGCCTTGGCTGTTTCTCGTGCGCTGCCTTCGGCCAGGTTTTTAATTTAGAGGTTAGCGTCTTTGTTCCTGTGTCACTCTTATACATTTTCGTGGGCGCCTTAGCTTGGGCGGCTGGCGGGACAGGCGGCGGCCAAGGGCGCGGTTGGGTGGGGTATGAAGGCGATGGATTAGCGTAGGAGAGGCGGTCATGAAGGCTGGTGGTAGAGGAGGCGGCGGAGCACGGCCGCAACGTCAAAGCGAAAGAAGTACGGAAACTTATTTACGCGCGACACGCCAAGCACACGACGCGCGCCCGCACCCAAGCTAGAGAGGAAGAAGAAGGAGCTCGAACTAGAGAGGAAAGAAGGAGCTTGCGTGCGTATGAGACGAGGACCTCACCAGTGTTAGGGTTTTGGCAAGGTTAGGGTTATATTTACCGGTGGCCTTAGAACTAAGAAGGGGATTTAGGGGGCGTTGGCCGCGACACAACGGTGGAGGCAAGCGAGACAACGGCGGGCCAAGGAGGAGGGGGGCAGGCAGGGCGACATGAGGATGAGCGTGCGACCGGTCGTGGCATATCAGCATCCATAGAAGTAGCACCGGTGGATTGGGTGGGTACAGGAAGAAGTGAAGCTGTAAATAAATAAAAGATAATAAGGTTGGAAGAAGGGGATTTCTTCACATGCAACAGTTAAAAATCCGCCTCAATATTTATACCTAAAATCTCTTATGCATCTTAGTATTATGATAAGACGTAGTTCCATCGAGTGGTTGAACCAGAGATTTAACTTCTTTATTTATATATAATTATATATAGGTAAGCGAGCAAAACGATGAAGGAAGCAACCAAGAAGATTGTATATTATAGTTATCGGCAGCTAGTAACATGGAACGCGTAAAATAATGAGAAATGCAACTTGTCTTGTACCTCTTCCACTTGTAGTATCTAAAGCTAAAATAGAGGCACACACTAGTACCCAAAGCACCAAGTTTGGCGATCATGGACCACGGTGTGTACTACTGCCTTCTAGCTCTTCTTCCACTTGTGTACTTCCTTCTGAAATCGCTGTGGAAGAAAGCTCCCTTCGGATCTGGTAGCCGCCATGGACTCGAGCTCCCTCCAGGCCCATGACAGCTCCCCGTCATCGGCAGCATGCATCATCACCGCGGCTCCCTCGTGCACCGCGCACTGCGGGACCTGTCGCTCCGACATGGCCCTCTCATGTTCCTCAAGTTCTGCGAGCTCCCAGTCGTCGTAGCATCCACGCCAGAGGCCGCGAAAGAGGTGATGAAGACCTACGACGCCATCTTCTCGACGAGGCCACTGAGTTTCGGCATCAAGACGGTCACCAAGGACGACCCGGGGATCGTCTGGGCTCCGTACGGCGACCACTGGCGGCAGCTCCGCAAGATCTGCGCCATGGAGCTGCTCGGCGCCCGGCGCGTCCAGTCCCTGCGGCCTGCCCGCGAGGCGGAGGCCCTCCGGCTGGTCCGAGCCGTCGCGTCGTCTTTCTCGTCCACCGCGGCAGGAGCAGCGTCGCCGGTTGTGGACCTCGGTAGGCTGGTGTTAGCAACCCACTGGCAGAACACGATCTCAGGTAACCGATACTAGTAAGGAATAGAGTTCAGGGGAGCAGCAAGCAGGGGAAATCAGAGAGAAAGAGGAGCAGGGGGCTGGTACAGAGGAAGAGGAGGTTGGAGGAAGATGAACAGTAACAGGGAAAGAAGGATTCTGTTTCAGATCATTTGTTCGATGCCTACTCTGCTCCTGCTCTCTTGTCTTTGTAGGCTTCCATCCAGGCAGAGTCTGAACTGGGCTCATGCGATGGCCTAACCATAGCAAGCCCAGGCCCACGTGGCGGCCCAGCCATAGCTGATCCCTAACATTCCCCTCTTCTTGAGATTCAGCTTGCCCCCAAACCGATGGAGAAAGTATGGAAGCACCGGAATCCCAAGCAAACTGCAGAAACTCGTGTTCTGTATACAGACCCTGACCAATGCATAGAGCTCTTAAACTGCAGATATGCTCTGTGGAAGCACCAGTCCATTTTTGTTGCCTTGACTCTAGCGGGAATGTGCATACTAGCCATGCCAGTTCCAGACACCAGGCTGATGTTTCAGGTATCTTCTGACCAAAGACATCCACTATGTGAGAGGGCTGCAACTTGATGGTTTCTTGTTGAAGTGGTACATGCCATGGGGGCTTCCAGATCTGACCGGGCTAGCACATGACAGAGAACCTCTCAAGCATATCAAACAACGGCCATTGTATAGGCCCTAGCTCAGCAGCATAAATTGTGAACCTCAGTTCTGCAGGTGGTGGCCATGGTTGGTGTTGATTATCTTCCTGCACCCACGATGGCCACAAAGACATGCAACCAGAAGCAAAGATAGAAACATAATCTCCCAGCCATAGCTCATCATGGACCATGTATGATAGGGTACGCTTGGACATCACTAGCAAAACAGAAAGCACCTTCTCCTCGCTGTATCCATAGAAATTTGGTACCACATAAAGGACACTTAACGGCATGTGAAAAACTGCACGAGGATTTAACGATTTGCCCTTATGCTGAACTGAAACCGGAAAATGCTCCATATTAGCAGCTGAATTCTCATGCATAAGGATTGGCCACACAAGGATTTGCACCACGCTTCCGCTACTCTGCACAGCAAACCAACAAAAATAGAACGACGACCATAAACCAAAACAAAGCTGTGTGGAGTCCGCAAGCATGGTATTCACTGAGAGTGATGTCTTCAGTGCACAGGGGCTGCATAACCACAGAAAAATGGCTAAGGGATTGGACTGAGATGGACTGCATCACCCTTGATCTCAAACAACATAAATGGCGACCATGGCGCTTTGACTACCACTGAAGTTGAGAACGGCCAGAGCGGCACCGGGCACTGAATGATCAATTTCCCAAACACCCTCTAAACACCATGTATCTCAGATGCCGAATAGAGCATGACAACGCCAATGGAGTATGCATGGGTAAAGTCTGTGATGTACCTTTTCAGCATTTGGTCAACCTTCCTAGGAGTGCTCACAGCTGTAGATGCTGATACCCTGGGCTCAAAGTTGTTGCGGACTTGCATCGAACACTTGGTGGGCGGTAGGGTGATGACTGATGCAGGTCTCTCTGCATGAATGGAGGGAGCAACTGACTTGCTCCAAGCAGCAGCTAGGACCAGCAAGGATGCTTCTAGTGCTGAAGTAGGGATTGGTGAAGCCGTTGCTGCATCCTGTGGTGGTGGTAGGAGAACGAGGCCAGGCGCGCCACAGACGAGCGCGTCCAGCGAGCCGTTGAGCCTGTGGTCGGTGTCGACGTCGCGTGGGTCGAAGGTGACGCCTGAGATGATGCAGACTTCGTGAGGGCACTCAGGGCGCAGGGCGTCGCCGGCTTCAAGGTCCGGGTGGAGCGCGCGGCTGCGGATGAAGTGCTTGTTCAACCTCCCGGACCTCCAGCGGTCGCGGCGAGGGATGGACGAGTCCGGCGAGGCGAGCATCGGTGCCTGCAGGGTCGGGCCGTCGACGCTGCTAGACGTGGGGTGGTGCTCCGTGTGCTCTTCTTCAGCTCATTGTGGCGCCTGCGGGTGCGCAGCGTGGCGCTGCCGGTGGCGGAGATGAACTGCGCGGTGAAGACGACCCACCAGCTGATGCACGGTATGAGCGAGGCGCCGAGGAGGCCTAGCCTGAACTGGTGGACGATGAAGTAGCTGAGGACGAGGGGGATGGCCTGCAGCATCGGTAGGAGAGCGCAGAGCATGGCCGAGGGGCTGGCAAGATCCGCGGCGAAGTTGGGGAGGCGAGAAGGTGCGCGTACTCGATGGTTTACCACGTCGGGCTGCGGCAGCAGCGCGCGTGCTCGGAGTCGAGGATGGCGGCCGCGAACCAGGAGCCGTGGAGGCCGTCTTCGTCGACGTGGGCCTCGACCATGGTACCGGATGGTGTCCTGCTCGAACCGCACCTCGAGGAAGAAGGGTTGCACCTCCATCTGCACTAGCGACACGGATGGGGAGGCGCAGAGAGGCCTCCAGCGGTGGGAAAGCACCGCCGTGTGTGCGGCGTCCTTGATGGGGAGGCAAGAGACGATGTCGCGGAGGAGCACATCCGGAAGGAGGCTGAGGTGGTCGAGGTCGGTCTAGGGCAGCGGGTACATGAGTGACAGCTTGGGCTCGTCGGTGGAGACGGCCTTGCCTACAGTACCGGAGAGCTCAGAGTCGGAAGCGGCGTCGTGCGCGGGCGCAACAGGTGAGACGCGGAGGCGGGGCGGCCTGGCGAGCGCCAGCATCCTAGCCTCTGGCTTGGAGAGTGCCTCCTCGAGGGTCGCGATGTCGGCGTCCTGCAGCTTCTCCTCGGGCTCCTAGATCTGGTGCCGGTAGTACGTGGGGAGAAACTCCTCGGGCTCAATCTCCCTGATGGCAGCGGAAGTGATGGGCGCGGGCGTGATGCAGATGGTGGAGGTGAGGCAGCTCTCGATGTGGATCTGGTCGATGGACTCGAGGTCGTGCACCTCCCGGATGTGGACAGGCTGCTCGAACAGCCCACCCCAGTTGTCGGCGACGATGGATCGTGCCCCGTAGTGCTGCTCGTCGGAGTCGTCGCCTTCGTTGAAGATGCCGCCCTAGTTGTCGGCGACTACGTCGGCTCTGAGGGCAGCGGACTAGGTCGGAACGGTGATGCCCCTGGAGGCCTCCCACACGGCATCCTGCTTGGCCCACCTCGCTCCGCCGCAAGTCGGTGGAGGTGGTGTCAAGCATGGGAGCGGACTCGTGGACGACGTCGAGTAGCGCGACGGGGACGTTGGAGGTGAGGCCACTGTCGACGCGGATCTGGTCGGAGGCAATGGAGTCGTCGTGGTACGGGGTGGACAGCTGAACCGTCGGCGGCGACGGCGTGGTAGCGATGGCGGTGGAGGCTAGCTCATTGAAGGACTGTCGGAGGCCGCCAAACTGAGACTCCAACTCCTTACGCATCGCGCGAATCTCGGCCAGGAGCAACTGGTAGTTGAGAGAACCCATGGAGCAGTGGTGGTGGATTTCGTGGTGCTGCAGAGTTTGGCTCGTAATACCAATTTGTTAGCAACTCCACCGGTAGAACACGATCTCGTGTAACCGATACAATGAAGGAATGGAGTTAAGGGAGCAACAAGCGTGGGGAATCGGAGAGGAAGAGGAGCAGGGGGCGAGCAGAGAGGAAGAGAGGTTGGAGGAAGATGAACGATGAATGGGAATAAGGATTCTATTTCAGATCATTTGTTCGATGCCTACTCTGCTCCTGCTCTCTTGCCTTTGTAGGCTTCCATCCAGGCAGAGTCTGAACTGGGCTCATGCGATGGCCTAACCATAGCAAGCCTAGGCCCACATGATGGCACAGCCATAGCTGATCCCTAACAGCTGGTCGCCATGTACGTGGCCGACACGTCGTTGCATGCCATCCTGGGCAGGCGGTTCAAGGTCGAGGATAGGGACACGTTAAATGCGTTATGTCGACGAGGGTGTCCGGCTCACCGGCGGGTTCACACCCGAGACCTGTTCCCCATCGTCGTGGTGGGCTCGCGCTCTGAGCCACGGGGCGATGCTGCGCGAGGTAGAAGCCTACCATGAGTCCTTGTTCGCCGTGGATGGAGTGCTAGGTGAGCACCTAGAGCAACGAAGGTCAATCAAGAAGAAGAGGAAGAGGAGGATTTGATTGACGTCCTCCTCCGGATCCGTAAGGAAGGAAACCTTCAATTCCCTCTCACCATGAAGATAATCAAAGCAGTGATATTTGTGAGTGTTTATAAATTTGCTAATATTAATTTTTTAGGAGATATTTGCTAATGTAAATGTTAATTAATGTCTTCAATTCTTGTGTGAAATAAACTGTACTCCATGTAGGATCTTATCGGAGGGGGTATCAAACAACGACAACAACGCAGGCAGGGGCGGCGATGGTCGAGTGATGAGGAATCCAGCATCATGGACAAGGCACAGTCGAGAGGTCGAGAGTGTTCATGGGCGAAAACCAAGGTAACCAAGGTTGGCTAGGCGAAGCTATCCTATCTGCAGCTGGTCATCAAGGAGACCCTACGACTACATGTCCCGGGCCATTCGATCCCAAGGGAATGCTAGGAGCATTGCGGATACTCGCTATGACGCGCCCAAGGGAGCCATGGTGCTCGTGAACGCTGGGCCATCGCTTTCGAGCTCGGATTACCGGGTGGAGCCGCATACACGCCCATCTCGAGAGGTTTGTCGGTGACACGAGAGATTTCAAGGGCAATGACTTCGAGTACATCCTGTTTGGCGCCGGGAGGAGGATCTATTCTAGGATGGCATTTGGTCTGTGAACGTCGAGCTCGGTCTCGCCAGCCTGCTCTTCTACTTTGACTGGTGCCTGCCGGAGGGCATCGTTCCTGGTGAGCTCGACATGACCGAGACCATGGGGATCACTGCTAGGAGGAAAGCATACCTCTTGTTGTCTCCTTTTTTTCGCGACCGGGCCATTCACCAGTTTTTGATTAAGAGGATTATAGTATCTAAAACACCCAAGTGCGATCACGATGGCGAGGAGCCTTCATAACCTAGCTACTAGATTAGCGTTTTGTTGTCTACTACTCCGTG